GCTTGTGACTGGTTTCTCAGAAAGCTAAGCCATGTATCTGCGAATCGTATTTGCCCACGTTAAGTCTGCTGTGATTGGTTGTTGGATCAATCTTGTTCGTATTTTCTCACGGCCAACATTATCGGCATAGACGTTGACGTAAATTAATGTCTACCAATTGGCTAGCGGCCTGCTCTCAGCACACTACAAAGTCTGTGCCGTCGATTTGGTTAAGGGAACAAACGCGCGACAAAGCATCTGCCACAGTGTTGTTTACTTCGGATACATGGCGAATATCTGACGTAAACTGTGAAACGTAATCCAGTTGTCGTGATTCCCCAGGTAAATAATTATAAAAGCAATAATGTATATTTTCATATAAACATAAATTTACATGAGAATGCATGCCACTTTTACAGGCGCCATCAAGTATGATATAGTCTCATATCGTAGATTGTCTACAAGTTAAAAATGTTTCAACAGTTAAATATTTGATACATATATATATATATAAATATACTCATTGTCTGAACCAGGCCTTATAGTTATTGAATTGTACAATTGTCCCCCAGGTTGAGCGGGAAAATCGACTTCGTTTCGTTTTCATCCCGTGGTTGTAGGCATACGATAACAAACCAACATTGAGGTAAATACAACGTTTACATGGAAATGAAAGCTGTTTTAGAAAAGTAAAATTGCTAAGGTGAATCAATAAAGTGTAATGGAATAGGTAAGTGCAAGTATCATTAATAAATGCATTGATAAAGAAAACTCCCTAGGCTGACAACGTTCATTTGCAATGTATAATGCTACCCATATAGGTCTTAATATCATGATGTCCACTTTTGGTTTTAATACAATTATCATCATGCCGTTTTTTTATTTCATAACTTTTCGTGCATTCGGTGCACAACCGTACCCTACAGAGAATAGAAATGGAATAAATTGAATCGAATTCATATAGAGCTATAAAATATTAGGCCTAATGATCAAGTAAAGACGTTATTAGAAAATGAATGAGATGAGACATTGTGAAGTGGTATTTAAAGATCCGACAGTGGACAGCAAGTTAGTTTATGAGATGCCCCATAAATCTGCGCAGAGCCCACATGGTCGCATCTCAACAATAGGCTGAGCGAATGGTATATGTTTAAAGGCAGAGGCATGATCTGTCCAGTCGTTCATTATTTTCTTTTTCATGATAAAGATCTAAGCCCTCATAAAAATCAGAAATATCTCGAGCCGTCAAATTGCATATTGATGTTCCTGCAGAATGGGGTGATTCACCTTAGTGACCACCACCATATCTACTGATCAGCTGGCGCCACCCTCCCTCCTTTATCTGAAGTTGAGTTAAGGGACTACGTCAGAGGCTTTTGATCAGTGAAAATTATGAATTCATGACGCTCTACTGAATGTCGAAAATGACGTATAGCACAGTAAATTGCCAGAAGTTCTCTGCCAAATGTTCTGTACTTCGTTTCAGCTAATTGAAGGCATCTCGAGAAAAAAGCTAGTGGTTGCCACTCTTTGTTAACTAGCTGTTGGAGAACTGCGCTGATTGCAGTGTTTGATGCATCGACCGAGGTACTTAACGGTGCCTCTGGATCCTGATACATCAGAAGTGTGGCATTCGCAATGGCTTTTTTCACCTGGGTAAAAGCATTTGGAGCAAACGTGTCAAGTTCTATGGATTTGTTATTCCCTTGAAGGAGGTCTGTCGATGGCTGAATCAGAGAGGCACAGTTGGGAATAAAACGTTGATAATAACTTACCAAGCCGTTAAAAGTGCGGAGACTTTTCATCGTCTGTGGCTCTGAAAAGTTCAGTATAGCCTCGACCTTAGTAGCCAGTGGGTGAGTACCTTTGCAGTCAATAGTGTGACCCAGGAATTTGGGTGTGTCAACACCGATTTGACACTTTTGAATATCGATGGTAACACCATGTTGGCGTAACCTTTCAAATGCCAAGTCCTAATGTCAAAGGTGAGTTTCCTTGTCTGGACTGGCAATGAGGCAGTCGTCTAAGTATGCGTATACAAAGTCGAGACCTCGAAATACTTCATCAGTGAAGCGTTGGAATGTTTGGGCTGCATTCCGGAGACCGAATGGCATACGCAGAAATTCAAAAATTCCGAAAGGCTTAATGATAGTCGTTTTCGGGATGTCTTCTGTTGCCATCAAATTGTGGGCTGTTGCCATCGGGATTTGGTTATACGCTTTAACCAAGTTGATTTTAGAGAATATAGCCGCGCCAGATAATGTTGCCGTCAAATCGTGTATATGAGGCAACGGGTAGCAATTAGGGATTGTTTTGGCATTCACTCGCCGGTGACCATCTGTGGGTCGCCAATCATTGCTATCCATTTTTGGCACCATATGAAGTGGGGATGCCCATGGGCTATTCGAAAGTTGAATGATGCTAAGGGCAAGCATATGGTCAAACTCATTCCTAGCTATTCTCAGTTTGTCAGGAGCCAGTCGTCGTGCCCTAGGTGCCCTGTGGTAATGATGTGGTGCATAACATCCCTGGTTATGCACGGTAGGTCGTTAGACGGGCAATGAAGTTCCGGATATTTGTCAACCATAGATTGAAAAGTTGGATCAATGATTGCCTTTATTTTGACGAGTGGATGGCTGGGGCCTATGTAAGTGATGCCTTTGATAGACAGACTAGTAGTATTGTCAATGAGTCGTTTTCGGCGGACGTCTACCAGTAAATCATGATGATCGAGAAGGTCCGTGCCGATGATGGGTATTGTGGCGTCAGCGAGAAGGAAAATCCACTGAATAAGTTTGCGTAAACCCACGTTCAGATAGACGTATTTCCTACCAAAGGTTGCGACTGGTTTTCCATTTTCAGCCTGTAAGTTCAAGGTAGGTTCCTTCCTTCGATCTGCCGCTGTAGCAGATAGGACGCTGGCTTCGGCGCCTGTTTCGACTAAATATCGAGTCTGGCTGATCACATCATGGATGCAGAGTTGACGGCTATTGCCACCGGTGGCGGTTGCCGCTAACGCGTGCCGGCGGAATAGTTTCCCACAGACTTTGAGACATTTCCAAAGTTACAAGGCTTACGGCAAAATTTCGATGCTTTGCCATAGGTGTTGTGGTACAAGCACCAGTCAGGGTTTTTCAGTGAACGTGGCTTGGACTTTGATCGACCACGTGAGTTTCGGCGTTGAGGGGATTTAAGACGACGGCTAGGGGAGTTAGAAGACATTTTTGACCTAAAAATATGCTGGATGGAGTTGAGCAACTCTATCACCGCAGTATCCTTACTCGAAGTCTGCTTAGTCACCGAGCTTAGTCAGGAAGTGACCGTTTACTTATTTCTAGAATCATATGAGCGGAAATAGCTAAGTCATCTATTACAACACCCTGAAGTGTAACAAGTACAATCTGCACGGACTGTCGCAGCTTCGATAAGAAGATTTCTCTAAAAAGTCCTTCATCGAACTGACTTCAGACAAAAACCTCTCTCATTCTTGTCAGCATGCTCACGGCTGACTTATCCGCTAACTCAGTGTTACGAAATAATTCGTCTAGACGTCGGTCCATGACAACGTTTCTCCTGAGGAGGGATGCTTTGAGCAACTCGTACGAGTTACTTACCTCTGAACTCGACATCTGCAAAGTTACTTACTTGCTGAATTCCCACGGTAGGGCATGAATAACCGCAAGGAACTGTGAACGTTGATCGGTTATCCCATGCTCACAAAAATCTGATTCAGCTATCTGAAACCACGTTTCAGCATTATCTGGCCAGTGTGGTACGAGCTGAATGGTTTTAGGAGTTGAGCGAATGCGAATGACCTTGGGACTAGGATCACTCATGACGAAACGCATACCGATAACAATATGGTACAAGAACAAACACAAAAAGGAACGAACTCACCGACTTTATATGAGTTGTTATCGAAGATGAAGTTGCGGTTAGGGTCACCAGTTTAGAGGTTGACGGTGTAGACGTTCGCGAACAATACTGGGTATATTAACGCAAGATCTTATACCAACAACTTCTTTTATTCTCGCGTACCAAAGGCAAAACAAAAGACTACAATCGGTTGTCCAAATTACGATATATATATTTCGGAACCAAATCACGGATTGAAGCGGAAGCTAAGCTAGCTAGTGATCGTGCACGACAGTGACACGACGGAGTACCAAATGGTGGGGATGCTTGGCTGGAAGCCTTCAGATAAACATTTGGTCAGCACCCAATGTTCACTGATGATTCCTATGGTCAATAATTTTGGGGAATTATTTAACGCTACAGTCCGACTAATTTGTGGATTTCTTTGATCCCCAACAATGTTACTTACGGAACTGAAAATGTCTGGCATCGTTGTTAGTAGTAGTAGTAGTAGTAGTCGGGAGACACACAATAATGAAGGTTTGGTCTAATGAATAGATGCTTTTCATGAATAAATCTAGTGCCGTAACAATAAGTGCTCGGTGTGTAAGTGTTGGCGAGTATTTAATTCGGACGTATCGGCTCTCATTCTTCCTACTGAGAAATAATTTCAAGGGGTCATCTATTCCCAAAGAAGGACACCTCCTTATCCGAAGCTGTACGGAGGACGGCCAAAAATGCATGCTGTGACCAATTCATCATACGAAGGAAAGCCAGAACGACTACAGGAAAGGCTCAAATGGTAGAAAATTAAAACAAAATAGAAGGAAGAACTGAATCGGGTATCTCAAACCGTATCAGTAACTATTGAGTTCCTTCGGGGAAGAAGCCAAGGTCTTTGATTTCAGTCGAATAACAAAGGAGGAGAATACAGAGGCATATAGCCTTAGAAGGAAAGTTTAACTTAGGTTAGCAGCAGTCAATTATTGGTTCAAATCTGAACCTAGTAAAAGGACACTAAAAATGGTTTTCAGTAGGTAAAGCTGCGTTGTATATATAGGATAATATATAGGAAATTGCAGGTTCTGGAATTATGGTGAGCAAATTACCCGTACAACTTTAGTAGCTCGGTGATTGGAAGTTTTGTTTGTAACCACTAAATTGACAATAGCTGTCCGTTGGGCAGAAGAGCTATGATTAAAAACGTTATTGGTTCGGGGATTATTGGCAGTTTGCGAAGTTACTCCCCTAGCTGGTTTCAAATTAATGAGATATTTTCGTAAGTAACAAAATCTTTGTTTAAGTTCTTACATTCCAATGACCTAAACAGACTGTTTTTTATGACTCAACAATATTTTTCTTAATAAAACGAACTATGTCCATTAATGGATATCGGCCAAAATTTTGCGTTTTGTCTGCAGTTTGTGGCACTGTAGTTCATGAAGCACAGCTAGCGGTCGTTATACTCATCTTCAGATTTGCGCTTGTTTTGATTGACTATTTGCCGAAATTATTTAAATTTTACTAAAGTAAAATATGGCTTTCTAATTAATAAGCCACATTTTCAGGAAACCAAACAGACAAGCAATGATTGCCTAAGGACTCCTTTTGGTGAATTTGCTTTCGTTAATGTTGTTGGATAGCAGTTCAAAGATATTTTCGTATGGCACATGATTCGATTCAGCGATCTCAAGGAATTTTTAATTCTGAAGCCCAGTGTGTGGCGAAAATACAAAGAATCATGCATCAGTTGAATTCCATTTTCTTCACTTGGAGCCTCAACCTCGCACTCATTTTATTGGTATGATCACTGCTAGGGGTTTCGTTAAGAGCGATCTGTCGTTCGTTGCTAAATGCGAAGTTATTTTTGAGTATAGAGTAACCGAATAAACAAAACTTCTATTACATTTAAAGTAACCTTTGTACGGTAAACGTAAAATAGTGTTGTGGAAGGAATCAAAAGTCTTATGGGCCGAGAGGTTTGTCATACGTTCATGATGAAAAGGCAGGAAGCAATGTGGAATGAAGCACTGCAAACCATGCCCATTGGCTTATTAAGATGGGCATAATTCGATTAGTTCACAACAGATGTGCACGTTTTCCTTCTCTAGGGTTTGACATGCGTCAATTGTTTCCATTTTTCACATTTTTTCCCCCAAAAATGATTTCTGTGATATGTTAAACGCCAAGGGTAGACACCTGCATTATATTTAATTATGGCACATGAATTCCACTGAAAGAAATAGCTATGTTAATTCACAAATTTTTGTTTACGGGCTATTTATTTCAGTTGATGTCGGAATTTATACTAGCAGTCCACAGCCTACTTTTAAGATGCAAGTTTATTTGACAAACACTTTTCCGGGATTTTCACACAATAAAACGTTATATGGTCATTAATACGGTTGGATTTCTAGTGTTGAGCAACTTAATGAGATAGTAATGTGTTTAGCGGTTGAAGCAGCTCTTATGTATGTTAGTAAAGACACCGTTTCTCCAGAAAATATTAACTTTGATCTGTGATTTATACACGAAAATTGGTAATTTGGCACCAGTTTCTATAAACCATGCACTGACAGCTATCAAACGGGCGCATCTCATTGCATTCTAATCTTTGCGATTCTCTGTATGACTAAAAATGCTTTTATCATTTCACTAGCCTGTAGTAGTCAATCCACGAAGACACTAGTTATTGATTTGAGTCGCTTAAAGAATTGCAGATTGCTTGATCAGAGTTTTTAAAATGATTAAAATTAATGGTTAGGATTCATTGTGACACATCTGAAAACTGCTTATCCTGGTGCAAATACATTTTAATCGTTGTTATCCGTAACATAGGTATTAATCTTGACTAAATTACCCTTGTTTATTGATTATTCTTTATTCTTAGTGGTCTATACCTTTACCATTTCATCTGTTAGGGAACTCATATCAGTCATAGGAAGTGGGTAATATCGAAATTCCTTCTGGAGTCTAATTGAGCCTGACTGGACTTTCAATATGGAACACACACAAGAGTGCAGCAGTTTAAGCTCATGGAGCACACATGTAGAAAAAAGAATTCAAACGTAACATAATGAGTGACAATATACGGAAAATAAAGTAATGCGAAATGATGGAAGGCAATGGATGTACAAGTTCATAAAGGATGAATTCATCTGCGCTACTGAGAATGATTATGCGCCATTTCACCAAGTGTTAGATCATTGATTTTTAACATGTTTATGACCCCAGTCAGTCAGTCTACATCTCCTTGCACGACTCAAACCAACTGTTGAGGCTTCCGCATTGTTGTCATCATCTGGTTTGGCCACCTCTGAGTCTCATCCAACCTAATCATACATGACTCAACATTGGTTGTTGAGGAAGGCGTTGGTTTGTCACTCGTAACACGTGTCCCAGCTCTGTCGATCGATGCAGCTTCACAGCCTCATTGACTGATTTTCCCCCATCACCTGACTTCAGTGTCTCAGGGGTTGACTTGTTACCAAGGAATAATCTCTGGCTTAGAATATGCAGATGACATAGTCCTTCTAGATGAAGATGCTGATAAAATTCAGTCTTCCAAATACCTTGATATTCTTACTGGTATCTATAAATGCGTCAACATAGACACTTCGTATGAGTTATGGAATAAATCTTCAGATTCAAATACCTAGTGATATCCAGTTTTTATCGCTTTTGACCAGTGAGCTAGTTCTCTGACTCAAGTATGACTTAGATAGCTAATGCTAACAAAGCATATATTATAGTCTACGAATACACACTGAGAGCAGCGAACGACTATTTGCAGGTGAACGTTTCCCGGTAGATTTCCTTAGCCCGAACTAGTGCCACTAAAATTCCTCCAATTATTGCAGATTAGGCGGTAGAGAAGACAGAGCGAGGAATATATCCTGTGTTAGTAGTAATGATAATAACTCAAAGTGGTCTGGTGGAAACTAGACGTACACTAGCATGATCCTAGTATTGGGCGTCATTCTCCGTGATGGGACCTGATTTGTAGTTTATCTGAGTAGCAAATAGTCCATACTCACAGTTTAAAACCCGATTGATAGACTATCGACTTAGACTGTATTTGCACTCAACGCTTCTCACTTTAGGAAGGTTGATGGTCAGTAACGAACAAAATCCAAATTCACATTTTTTAAACGTTTGCTGAATCCAACGGGTGTTTTTGATATTGTGAGTATTCCTCTGTCTTGTCAACAATGCGTAGCTAAAAGACATTCAGCTGTATATTCGAGAGGATGTTCGGCTCTGGTTCGTTTGATTTTTTGAGTATCATCAGCGTAAGCAGCCGTTATGCATGTACATAGTTTAGTGTCAACTTTTACACTATAAATAACCTGTCCTTGTCCTGACACGACGTAGCCATTCTATTAGTTTTTATACTGGCCAATGTTCATGGCATGGACGGCAGTAACATCTGTAATCCTCCCTTAATTCAGAATGATGAATGAAGGTGATGATGTTCTCTTGATAAAATCGACCGATCAATAATCCCTAGCTTCCTTGTACAGAGTATTTCGTTGACAATTATTTGTTCCACCTTCGGTCACCTAGAGTTGTGAGATATACCTGAGGACATTTCCTAATCACACCAATCTTTGCTCCTTCTTCCCTCCTTCTCCTTCAGACTGGCCGTTTGTTTCGGCCGATTTGAACGCAAGAATATATGCTTCATGCCGTATCGCCTGTAGTCCTCTTCATTCTTCTGAGAAGTGAGTTAATGACAATTATCTGTAGCTTTCGCTTCCAACAGATCATGATGGAAGGCTATACGAAGGATAGCCTCAAGAGTCCGAGATCTTGTTGCTAGCACAACCGATATGAGCTGTGGCGACGTTCGAAAAGTAACCACCACCAATAAATAAGATACACCATCTATGAGACCCGGGGAATTCAACTTGAGTTTAAGACCAAAGTCTCTGTTGGTGGCCATGGCGTAAGAGGCAACCGATAAGGTTTTGCTGGTTGCTGATATTTAGAAATGTTACACAACTGAAGATGTGCTGATCCATGCTTGCCCATGACCTCATGTGAAGTCATTTGAGGAACTTATCTTGAAGGTCTCTTGGTGGGTTCGCAGTACGTATTTATGACAGCTAAAGCATGGGCCCGGGATCCTTAGTAAACAAAACCATAATATAGGTTAGACCCAGGTAATACTTAGTGCTTCTGCCTTTCCACTATCTGCCACTTTGTGCCGCTTCTTGTCGAGACCCTATTGCGTGCCTACACTGATTCGTGAGACATTTCAAAATTCAACATGCTTGACTTTTCGGTATCTCTAAATGCCACTTTTGGCTAAACTATCATTTGTGTGCGGCGTAATAGGTTTTTCTTGGGCTTACACATAAGCAGGTGATTCCTTGTATGAAAACTAGTAGATTAACGCTGTTAGTTACCTTATTAGCGGTTCCATTCGCTGTAATTGGTTCCAGATTTCTGGAGACAGGCTTATGGCTTACAGCCAATTGTTGTACAAAATCCCTGCGGGTAACAGAGGATGATGCCTTAGTGTCAACCAGAGACGACACATCTACCCGTGTATTGACCCTTCAAGAAGCAATGGTTTCAAAACACTGAGTGGTAGAGGAGACATTAATAACAGTTTCACCTGATGATCTTCGGTTGCTGTGGCCAGATCACCACGCTTTGTGACGAAACCGTTGACAACAGTAACGCTTTCCAAGGGGGAAAGTTTGATCTTAAGCGTGTTGTGAGCGGTGCTGCAAGCTGGCCCGGTGCTGGTGCATTTCTGCGTCATCCCCGGGACGTATTGAAGGGTGGTTTCTTGTCTATGGATCCCAAAGCATAACACAACGAACTTGCAGTTAACGGAGGGACGTGGTCGACACTCTCGAATCGTCTAACAACTCAATGGCCTCTGATATAGAGTTCACTGGGGTATGCACCAAGCGGCATTTGAGATCGTGTGATAAGCCTTGCTCAAAGCGTGTGGAGATGGCTTCATCACGATTGGCATCGGACAATGTCGAGAAGGCATATGATGTTATTTGTCCGCCGCTTTCTCGCCAGATTGTCGCAAGCGGTCCAAGAAGGTGTGCAGATAGATGGACGGGCTGCACTCTGTTCCGACACATTTGTCCCAAATGCGCCAGTCACTGATGAAGGTGTCGATTAGACAGAAGCCTCTAGCGATCGTGAAGCGAAAGGCCTCGTCGGTCAGCGCCAACACTATCTGAATGTACTGATCATGTGGGGAAAAGCAGCCGATGATGGATTGCATGGGGAACCTTCGAAGTTTGTGGTCATCGCTAAAGTTCAGGAATGGCGATCTTCGCACGGGGAGACTGTTCTATCGTCAAGGAATACGTGCTGCCTTTGTGTGCACAGCATACTGTAGGAGGTGCATATGTGTCAGGACAGATACCACACTCGTTATAATTCACCAGCGCTAGGTCAAAAAGCATTCATCTCTATACTAACAACCATCTCAGCACGGATACACAGAGTTGGTTTGGTATACGCCAGCATGCGCCATCTCTGGCGTAGACGTGATACCTGGTTGTCGATCTTAGGGCGTGTGTACTGCTCAGCAGTTCGTTCCGTCCTCCTTTTTGGCTGTGGGACATGGATACTGAAATTGGAAGATACGAAAAAGCTAGCTATCTTTAATCATCAGTGTCTGCGTTCTGTCTCACTTGTTAAATAGTATTATGAGGTGAACAATATTGGGGTTAGACATCTAGTGCTAGATAAGGACGTGCGGGGGTGGGAAATTTATCGATGGTGTTGTAAAGTTACACTGATGGTTAAGACATGTATTACGTATGCCTAGCCATCGCCTTCCTTGACTAACGGGCAATGTTAGCTGACGTAGGGTGAATCAGATTAGAAAAGAGCTAGTGTTGGTCGAACGAAAATATGGCTTCACTAGTCAATGAAATCCGCAGCCGGTAGCTTGAACCAGCCACGTAGGGGAGTGTAGATTTTTTGACTGGTGGGAGTCCTCGGTATGGTAAAAACCAGTGACTGGAGACAATTGGTGATATGGCTCCATATCGTCGTTGTCAATGATGGCGCAGATGCATTCGCTCTTTGTGATTTCAAATCTAATAAAAGTCTATTGTTCTCCCATATTACTATTCTTTATGCCTGATATTTCTGTTTATTATCTCTGTTTCGAATGTCTCTTACTCTCTTGTCTCGCTTTGTGTGCAACATCATGGAAGCCTTGCAGCTCGAACTGCTGCTGAAATCAGTCAGTCATTACCTAGCACTACGTCTAACGTCAAATTTACTCGCCATATTATATCACTTAATACAGTAGATAAAACTCAGATACTTATAGTGAGAAATGGCTAGCCTCTTAAGGTCTTTCACTTTTATCGACCACTTCTCATTCACAAAGAAAGACAGGACGAACTAAGCCCAGTACATGCGTCCTACACGTGATATTCGTATGTCACAACTACTACGTAAATATCACTCTTACTTTTGTATGTGTTGAGATCTAGTCATCAGTCGGTCCATTAAGGCTGTTGTAACTTTCAAGGTAAGAGTAATAGTCAATATGATCAACTTGTCCACTCCCTATCCTTAAAGTGGGGGTCAATTCAGATCAATTCTGTAGCATTATCTCACATGTAACAGGGGAGAACTCCATGACAAAAATCTGAAGATTTCTTCTTCAGGTGTTCCGAAAACTGCATTTCTCAGTGTCTTTACCTAGAAGGACAAGGTCGTGTGCATATTCTAAATTCAGACTGTTCTCAGTATACAAGCTAATTCTTATTTCTCTGAAGTCGATTGAAGTCACATCCATTATTTCATCTGTAATGATGGACACCACTGGTTGCCTCACTGCATATAACTTTCCATAATGTGTAAGTCTATCTAATATCCTCAAATCAATGTGCACCGTGATGGCGAGCTACCTAGAATGGTGGCCACATTGCAAACCTGACTGATAGAATTCAGTCTGCACCAAAACAAGGACTAGACACGTCACACTACTTACTAGTGTCCAATCAAACTACCCACTACAGTCCTACAGGAGGTCGATCGCGAGCCCGAATAGCCCAATGGTAACGTCTCTGACCACAGTACTCACTAGGTGACGTGGGTTCGAGTTTCAGAAGGGACATGAGTTCCTTCATGGTTGCAGAGATTCCTTGCTGGCTAGCGAGTGCCAACTAGTACGAAATCTAAGTACAAGGCTTTTTATGATCGATTGCCTCCAACTATCTAATATCATTAAATCTAAATATATTTGTTCTTTACTTTTACGTAAATGTGAGGGTATCATTTTAATCAAAGAATCTGCTTTGTGCGCAGTTTTTTTAGGGATTATTTGCTAAAATTGCAAGGCTTCGTCAACTGAAGTGAAATGCGAACATCCAAGTGTCTAGTTATCATCTTCCACCACATCTAGAGCTATGTTAAAATACATTTTATGGCTCAAGATTGATCGCATAGATGCAATATTATCCACATATTACCTTCACCTAGATATTAAAAATGGTTCCATATAAAATAGTTGTACCTATAGCTCTTCACGGTTATTTCCATTTCATAATCATTGTGTTGCTAGTCTAGCGTTATAAAGTGAAAAGGTGTGCAGATACTTAGTTTGGTTTCACAATGTATCAAGTAGTATTCAAAGTTCAGTGTACCATTTATCTACTTCTATTGAGAAAAGTAAGCTGACGAATGAGACGAGTAAATTTTTACTTGAAGTCTCGGCATGATTTTAGAGTATTACTTTATTTTTAACGCACTACTTTTTTTTACAATGAAACATCTGGCATCATAAAACATAAGAAAGCTTTTGATTTTGTAGAGGAAATGTGCGACTAATTAGTTTTTAAATCTTGAGAAATTTTTTCAAATGTGATTGTAATGTTCTGTATTGAATTACGACTCTTTTCAAGGACAGCGAATAAATAGGAGCTAACTAGTGTCTTATTTATTCATCGGTTGTCTGACTGGAGCTTTTGAGATGTCAAAAATCAGCAACTGAAGCTAGAAGATGTAGCTTATCAACTTAAACACAACTTTCATCCGGTAGGTCACTCCATTTACTCCAGCCTGAGCAACTGCATAGTAGCAGCACAATAAATGTGCTTTATATCCTGGTACGTCAAAAATCTATTCCGACTATTTAATGAAGAACTTTGGCGACAGTCCAAATCACCATGTTTTGTACCATTTTCGAATTAAAACAACTATTCTGGACTTTTATATCATGTTTAGACAGGTATGTAGTGATTGAACTATGATTTGCTTCACAGTGTCTGTGTTACAAAGCCATCATGTCTTCTTGCGATTTGGCTGATAACAGGAACTGACAGTGATATTATGCTTCCACAATTGTTTCGTTGACCACCACTGTTTGATGAGTCTGTCTTTATTAGATTTAATTAATTTTTGAATGTTAGTGTTGTTGTACATATTCTTTTTCTGCCATCATCCATCATTTTTTGTTTTTGTGAGATCCTTTGTCAGTGTACGTTGCAACTTATTGCTTTTACAGATCACTTACAATAACTTTGTGGTAAGAGTAGAAATGTAGAAATATTCTTATTATTGCAAACCTGTAGTTCCTTGCCCCTGTTCTTACATTAAGTTAACTATAACACCAATATGCGAATTTCTGTTGCTTTCTGATGAGTTTTTAGTTGTTTTCTGTTTAGGTACGTAAAGGATATTTCAGTCTTCACGAGCAATAAATAAATGCTGTGACTATTTTCCACTTTCAGTCGAGAAACTATAACTCTTTGATCTAGGTACTCGACTTTTAACCACTAGGTCACTGGTTCTAACCCCTTTTCACCTACTGAATTTTGTGCAGCCAGGTAGTATCATTATCCCTCACACAATAAGTGTGGCTCATTGTCAACTACATGGAGTCTCCACTAATTGTAAAGTAACACATGTTTTCAATTAAATGCTGTTAGTTCGAATATTGTGAAAATAAACTCTTGTTGACAGTGTTAGTTACCTGCACGGTATGTCTTAGTGGCTTAGATACATTCATCTTCTGTAATTCTGAATTTCTAAATAAATTATTAATCCTTTCTGGGTTTTGATACAATCCTTTATTCTTACTTCTTTCTCTGTTTTTTTCTTCCAAATTATGGCAAATTAAATTCTTCACTACTGTCCGATAAGATACTTTAGTCTGTCCTTATGGCAGAAAACAGGTGTATGGTATGTTGTAAATATGGGCAGAGTCAATGCAAAGAACCTATGGATCTACGTCTTTTTCTTTCCGGTATTCAAAGTTCATGTCAACAACTTTAAGGAAATTTGTGTTTTCTGTACTTTTAACTTGTACCTTTGTGTTGTATTCAGGGATTCCTTCATTGCATGTTCTGCATTGAAGTGCAAATTATTTTTTGTAAACGTTTGTGTCTTCAGGCAGTCCTGAAAGTGAAGCATCTGGAGTAATCACATATTGGAAAATATGTATATACCTGGTAGCACAGCGGTTAGGACTCTCGCCGACTATGCACATGGTCCGGGGTTCGATTTCCTGCCGACGCACACCTGATATCTATGGTCGGCCTGCAAGATTTGGGCTACGGATATCATATGCTGAAAATTCCATACTTGTACCAAAAATATTGTGTGGTTTCAAGCGATAATCAAAAAAAATTTGCTACCAAAGTTTCTGAAAATCATTTTTACTTAATTGATGGTGGTTTTCAATTCAAGTTATTATTATTATTATCATTAAATTGAACTTGTATTACGGATATTATTCTTGACCAAATTATTGAATGGTGTGTTTTTGGTATTCAGTGAGTATGACAAAGTTAACTAGTCTGGTTTGAGTATACATTTAATTTTGTATGAAGTGTAAAACAGCTACAATACTAACCCCCCTAGGTTGTGAGCTGTCAATAGTGTATGAAGAGAGCTCTGGAGTGCGTTTAGCCTGATAGTTGAAAGTTAAATACTCAGGCATAACTGTGCTATTCACTTTTTATTATCGTTATTATTTGTTCTTTTGCTTACATTGCTGCATTTTCTGTTCTGCTTATCAGTTTTGTGTATTTAAATGATTGATATTCTGTTATCCTTCTTATTCCTCTTTTGGTATAGTCATTGTATAGCATCATGAAAGCAGTGATCTTGGTTCCTGTATATTTGAGTTTGCATCTTTAGTTTTCACTTACATTACAAACCATGATATAATAATGAAAGTTTATCTGAGTGGATAAATGTTCGTTATATGTTGTTGGTTGCCACTAAATTCGATTTGATCACTATCAAAAATTCCCTTTCTTTCTGTTTCCTTTGTCTGAGATATTTTTCCTGAACATTTATCACAAAACAGAGTGTAGGAATGAATATATTGTAGGCTATTATCTCGTCAGAGCAGTATCTACAGCTTATTTATGCAATTAAACAGCAGGTTGTAGTTGTAAAGGCATTTTTTTCGGTTAGCCTAGTGTAACCAAAGTGTAAAAGAAATTAACGCTTATCATGAAATGTATGTTTCTTTGACTCTTGAAATTGTAGATTTTTGTTTTGCTGTGAATGAAATGTTACGTAAAAGTCTACTCGCATGGCACTTTAGTTTAATTCTACTGATTGACAATTCGAATGGTTCAGATATCGGACGGGAATATCCTCCCAGCCCATATTCTTCAGAATTTAGAAAATGTGGAATTGATAAAAAGGGATATATTTGTGATCCTGAACTAATTCTCTCTGATCAAGCTAGTAAGTGTTTTGCTAGTATGGTTGGTATTATTATTTTTTGAAATGGATAGTATTTTCAGTAATTTTGTAATATATCCTAACATTGGTCTAACTTGCATTCACTGAAATCGGTTTTGCTGACAGATTCCCAATGTCATTTTAGAGATAATTTTACACTACATAGCATGCTATACCCGCAATATGATATATATGTCTCAACTGTATGTCTCCACTTGCATCTGTCTTCTGCTGTACTTTTCACCTGCATCCATGTTAGTCCATACTGTTTCAACTCCTCACACGATCTCCTCCATGTCACCCTTGGACGTCCCACTGGAGCAATAGCCTGACGCGCGATGTCACTCAGCGGTCTCCTCAGAGAGTGTCCGATCCATCTCCACTTTCTCCTGCATATTTGTTGGGCGATTGGTTCTTGTTTTGTTTGTTCCCATAGTTTCTTGTTGGTGATTCTTTCTGGCCGACCATCTGATCTTCAGTATAGAGCGTTAGTTGACAGTTGTTGATGAAGGTCTGCAACAGGCTGTTGGAAATATTCTTTGTGACCCACCCGCCAAGTTTCTGATCCGTATAGAAGAACTGACTGACTTGACGTTTGTATTGAAAGTCCAAATTTTGTTGTTGATGCTGGCTGAGTGACAAAGATTTCCTGATTGATTTCAGGTTGATGAATGTGTTTCTCGCCTTCGCGATTCTCACTCGATTTGACATCCTCATCCGTTCCTCCGTTCCTGTAGTTGAGACAATGCTCCCTAAATAAGTGATAGAAGTGACCTCTTCCAAATCCCTCCCGCCGATGGTGATTGGCGCTAGATGTTGCTGTTGTTGTTGGTTGGTTATTTTCATGACCTTCGTCATGTCTATATATATATACCTCATTTAACAGCTACATGATGCCACATGACAAGTAATTCAAAACGGAAAACTCAGAAAAGCATTTGAAGCGAAGACGGGAGCAAGGCAAGGCTGCTTATTGTTACTGATGATTTACCTAATTATGGACTGAATCCTTCAATATGCATTGGGAAGGGGTGGGAAGAAAAACATACTTCGAACTAACAAAAATCCCCGTGGATTTTGCACAAACTCGAAGATATACATGCGAAAACCAATAGGTTGACAGAAGAAGTACAGAAGACGGGACCTCAGGTGAACATAGGGAAGACAAACAACAAATACCAATCAGTATTAACGGGAGAAGTTTGAAAGAAGTTATCTTTTTCATTTATTAAGGTAACATGGTTTCAACTCAGGGCAGATAGCACAGGGAAGATATGAGTGCTAGCTTCAGAAAAGCAAGACAGGCCTTCATTATCCCATTTTCAGTGTGGGAATCTAGAACAGTCAGTATAAACAAAATAAGGATTATCAAAATTTCGTGCAAGCGTTACAAAAAGCGTTTTTCGCAAGCCCCAATTTCATCAATACGTGCCTTCCTTCACATTGAAGATCATATCCCCAGAAAGGATAAGCAATGAGGAACTTTGGAAGTGAAGCAGTCAAGAACCTATCCACACATGATTTGTTTTTCCTGAATTCAATCTCTCCAAGATGATGCGGCCTAATATTTCTCTTCAAGTGGGTGGTATGTTCGTCTGGTGATACCCATTTTTCCTTTTGTATATTCTTGTGCTTATGCACAGCGCCTACAAACATCAAATCACTAGAGACTCATAAGTGTGCGAATAGTTCCCCGTTGTCATTAACTTCACTGACAGGCTCTTTCTTGCTCCATGACAAATCCTCTTCCTGTGTTGTCTGATCCCAGTTTCAATGGTATTCATATCACCCATTCGAATGTCGATGTTGCTATCTACGATGGGCTCTTGTGGATTACTATTTTGTGCTGTCTGTAGAAGTCCTCCTCCTCTTGATTCTCCTCCTTCTTCTTGTTCGTCTTCTTATTCTTCTTGTCTTGGTGTGCGTTGTTTCTAGGTGCATATCGTTGTATAGTTGTAACCTTGCTTCCTTTTGGGTTGAATCTTGGTGTGAAAATCGTGGAGGTGATTGGTTCCGACTGCATGAATTGGTTGGTGGCATTGTGATAACCGCAGCCACAGTGTGCTCGTGGTTGGTCATCCTGGTGGGTTAGGTAGGGACTGTTGATCCATCCGGTACTAATTGCTAAGCGGTTAGTAGCAGTTGTGGCGCATCTTCTTGGTGGCTATATTGTACCAGGTGTTGTGTTTTAAATGAATGAATTAGTAACATTCTTACTAGATTTTTGAAATGTATCCACAATCCGTCTCGTCAGTCTATCTTTGTTGTGTGTTCACAATGTATCTCAGTCTGTTAGTCAGATTACATGTCATATGATGGGCGTCTAGCAATAAGAATGCAGTGTGCTATCAACACTTACTATTTAAGTCATGTGACTGGGTCAGTACATTTAACATACTTTTGTACTCTGGTTCACTTTATCTCTCACTTGTTTTGGAAATGGACGTTTCCTAGCCTACTGTATGGGTCTCCTGGAATTGACTGGTTTCTGGTGAAGGGATAATCCATCAAAAAAATTATCAACTGTTCATTATTATTATTCAGCATTCGTAGTCATACTCTGTCACATCGTAAGAATCTTAGAACATGGATTTTTTCAGGAACCGATATCAATTGGAATATTATTATTCACATCATTAGGTACTTAACAGCTTCTTCTTCCTAGTTTGCGTCCCTTCATCAGTGTACATTTACAACCCCATCATGTATTAAGTTCAAGATGCTTAGATTACCAAGCAATCACAGGGTTAGAATCCGATTACCCAAGAATTGTAACTTTTACCAATTTGATGAATATCTGATTCACACTTAAAATATACCACTGTATGAACATTTGCAGATTGGCACAAATACCTGAACATCATGATATTAGTTTGTAGATAATAAATATCCTTCAGAGTAGAGCTGTTCAACGTTTATCACTTTTGTACTATCTGAATATGTGATAAAGTCATCCAGAAAAAGTTGGTAGTTTGTATTCTTATCTGTAAACTACTGTTCTCCTGCTCCTCCTCCTCAAGTGTATAAATAGGACATCGCTGACAGTTATTGATAATAGTTAGTAATTAATAAAGGTCAGAAGGCTGGTACAACTTTCCATGCTGTAAAGTGTACTTTTAAGGGGGTGAAATGGCATGATGTGTATACTATAGCAGTAGTTGTTTTATAGTAGAAGTGATGCATAGAAATATACTCGTTTGCTATCATATACGTCCATGTGCTTCGGTGGCACAGTGGTTAGGACTCTCGCCGACCATGCATATGATCTGGGGTTCGATCCCCTGCCGACGCACACCTGATATCTATGGTCGCCCTGCAAAATTTTGGCTACCGATATCACATTCTGAAAATTCCATACTTGTACCAAAAATACAGTGTGGAATCAAGCTGTAAAAAAAAGTAATAAGTAAACTGTAAGAGGTGAAAAAAAGTAGAATGCCTTCAGCAAAAGATCAGTTGAATGTCTTCATGAGTGGGTGATATTCTCTCTCTCTCTCCATTCTACCTACTGTTTATTATTATTATTCGCTTTAATTCGTAGAGGAACATAGGGCTTCAGCCGTGCGTCTCCATTGCTTTCGGTTCTCTATTAGAGTTTTCACCTGGCTCCAAGTCTGTTCACATGCTTTCATCTCCTCTTCACATGACCTCCTCCAAGTCACCCTTGCACTGACGACCAACTCGCCGCTTCCCTTTCGGGTTCCACTCGAGCAATGGCTTGTCTAGTAATGTCGCTTGATGGTTTCTTCAGTGTACGGCCAATCCATCTCCATTTTTTCCTGCCTATTTGTTTCGCAATCGGTTCCTAGTTGGTTCGCTCATTGCCAGAGATCCCGGTTGCTGATCTTTTCTGGCCGACCATCTGATCCTGAGTATTGAGCGAAGACAACTGTTAATGAAGGTCTGAAGTTTGTTGGAGATGCTCTTCATAACGCGCTGGCCAAGTCTCTGATCCGTATAGTAGCACTGACTTCACATTGGAGTTGAAAATCCCGATGTTATTTTTGATGCTGAGTGCTGTTGGTCCCCAAACAGACTTGTGAGTAGTGAAAGCTTGTCTCTCTTTCTCGATCCTTTCTTTGATATCTTCGTCAGTTCCGTCTGTAGTTGAAACGATACTTCCCAGGTAGGTAAAGGAGGTTTGTAGTTTAGATTTTGCAAAATGATATGCACTAGTGTGTTTAAATAGCTGCATGATGAATATTTTAGTGATGAAATACACTTGAAAAGTCAAAGGCTTTATGTGTTGTTTTTGTCTTCACTAATATACTTCCTACTATTATTATTTATTATTATTCGATGTATACGCATGTTGTCGGTTTTATAATATGTAAATTTTAATGAACTAAATATAAAGCCTTCTTCTCAGATGTCTATAATGCCATCAAAAAGACACTAACATACTGCTCTACAGGTTAAGAACGTGATTTAGTGTGCTAAGTAGATTTTCTTCACTCACTCACTCACTCACTCTCTCTCTCTCTCTCTGACTTACACTGTTCAATGTTCTATTTTCTCGTTTAAAAACTGTGTGCATTTGCATTTTGTCTCCTGCACGCAAACAGCTGTCACGCATCGTATATATATATATATTAGGTCAGCATAAATAGAATTTTGTTATTATTGGTTAATAAACAGTAGCTCATTGTTTTAGAAACGGCTTGCAAAATCACAACCTCAAACCTAGAACTACCTATTAAATATTCATGTGACAACAATATAACCCTAAAAACTAAATATACTAATATTTTTGCATTAGTATAAGTTACAACTGTGATATATTGAAGAATAAATACTACTACTACTACTACTCCGGAAATGTTATCTGAATGTAAAAGTGAAGGAAACTTGACTTCTTTTTGCATTCAGAATTACCTATTGTTCAGTATCAATTCCACTGGAACTAGTGCGATGTGTGTGAAGATAGTCAGCAGGAGAAAAATTGTAAGAAAAATATCTGTCCGATAACGTCTCACGACTAAAAACTATCGGTAGAGTTGTCTTCCACCCATTGACAGAATTAATGGTATGGAAGTCAGTCACATTCACCTCCAAAACTGTGAACACTGTTTTACTTTATTTATTTATTTAAACGCAGAAAAGACTTGGTACAATATGGCACCAAGAAAGATGCACCACACAAAATTTCAGTTGTTGTGTGAAGGCTGAGATACTGCCCGGGCGCCCAGACCGAAGCAGGTGGTTTTCTTAAGGGACCACCCCCCGAGCCTTTGATTTGGAGTCCAATCCGCAAGGCAGCGAAGCAGCATCAGGAGCTGCATTCCCATGGTTGCCGGTGACCCATATGGGTTCATACGCCATTTGATCCGATTGGATTCTGGAGCCCATGTACCCCATGGTAACTGCTTTTAGTTTAACCGCTATCCAAACAACCTTCCTGACATGGTAGGACCTGCAAGGACATGAGTCCCAGCCAGTTTAGCTGGTTGGGTCACTGCGGTATTCAAGCCGGACCACCACGGCAACGTAGCAGTTGCCGACCGGGACTGTTTTACTTAATCTTCATTTAATCGTTCTGTTTTTGTTTTTTTAAGAAAAAAATATATAATGAGGACTTCTTTAGAAACCTGACAGGTTTTCGTTTTTGATAATTTCATCCTGGTTGCACAAATCGATGGTCTTAATGATCATTTCGTGTCCACTTAAAAGTCCATCATCAGTATATGCCGTTCAAGAACTTCAAACTCTAACAATGACACCAGTTCATTGTTTCAACTACAGACGGAACTGACGAAGATATCAAAGAAAGGATCGAGAAAGAGAGACAAGCTTTCACTACTCACAAGTCTGTTTGGGGACCAACAGCACTCAGCATCAAAAATAACATCGGGATTTTCAACTCCAATGTGAAGTCAGTGCTACTATACGGATCAGAGACTTGGCCAGCGCGTTATGAAGAGCATCTCCAACAAACTTCAGACCTTCATTAACAGTTGTCTTCGCTCAATACTCAGGATCAGATGGTCGGCCAGAAAAGATCAGCAACCGGGATCTCTGGCAATGAGCGAACCAACTAGGAACCGATTGCGAAACAAATAGGCAGGAAAAAATGGAGATGGATTGGCCGTACACTGAAGAAACCATCAAGCGACATTACTAGACAAGCCATTGCTCGAGTGGAACCCGAAAGGGAAGCGGCGAGTTGGTCGTCAGTGCAAGGGTGACTTGGAGGAGGTCATGTGAAGAGGAGATGAAAGCATGTGAACAGACTTGGAGCCAGGTGAAAACTCTAATAGAGAACCGAAAGCAATGGAGACGCACGGCTGAAGCCCTATGTTCCTCTACGAATTAAAGGATATAATAATAAATAATAATATTGATTGTTTGTCTTTCTTTCTTTCCGATGAGATTACGTAATCAAAGCGTGTTGTCAATTCATGCTGGACGACTTAATAAAATTTCGATTGTTAGACAAATTTTTACTTTTGAGTTCTCTCTTTAGACAATTTACTAGAAGTTGTTGATGTTGTAGATTTCCCCTTTTCCTAAGGTTAATAATAAAATATTTCAAAATGAAGGTAGGATTGGTTATTCTGTCAGTTGCACCGTAAATTTGACAGTATGAATAAACAGTTCTATTGGATAGAATGCATGATTTGCAATGGACTGTCATGATTTGAGTGCACTTAGTAGTAGTAAACAATGAGGCGATATAAGTCTTCATGATATCCGGGATTTCATCCTGTGATATTGAAACAAACAAGTTATTTAAGATAAACTTGGAAATACTCCTGGCAAACAGGGTCTATATTCTAAGCGTTATCACTTTTTTTTGTCACGTTGGTTATTTTTTCGTATCCTTTTTTCTTCTTTTCTTATAGGACAATCGCTAAATGAGCTATTGTTACAGTATCCTCGAGAGACACCATGTTTGTGTCATCCATGCTATCGAAATGAAGCCAATTTAAATGCCAGACTTGTTGCTTCTGCCTTTGTGACCAAGAGACCTCCAAAGTAATTTCGTGTTTGTTTGTTTTTATCCTGTTTGTGATAATTTGAATCTGTCGACTTGTTTTGTTTGTTTTGTTTTCATAAATAAATTTCCCTCTACTAGAGTAACTTAGTAACACGGACAACACCATTAGTTAGTTATACCGTTGGCTGGTCATTGTTTTCGAAGAGTAGCTGGTATTTGGTTGTAAAACATTTTCCACCAGGAAAGAAAGAGCAGGCCTTCTAAGGAACCTTGTTTTTCAAACGAGTATGTCGTGTTTTTTTACTATATGATTATTTAGACAGATAGCGAAAGCAACCTGTATACCGCAACAGTATATTCTGTTATGCTTGTCATGATAAACTTCAGAAACCTATTTACCGTGAACGTTCGGAAGCTTTTCCTATTACCAAAAATCGATTTATAGTTCTGGAGGTGTCTAGTTAGCAAAAATCGACTTCATCCGCTCAATATTTCGTAGAAGTTTTCATTCTAACTCATTATTTGTTTTGCGCTTCATAAACGTCTTACAGATTTTTTTGTCGCTTTAAATGATGTAGTTTTCTTACTGCTTTTTCGTCTACTTTGTTGTCTTTATTTACCTTTATCGTGCTGTAGTTGCCTATTGACTACTTAGCTGATGTACACGTGATCATATTCTTTGATAAGTTAGCGATAATCACTTCGTTTTATGAGCTGGTGCTTATACTGGTGTTATACTATACTAGTGTAATGTTTTAGGGGAGAAAGTTGTTGCTTGTTTTCTTTTCGGTACAACTATAGTTTGCGTTCACAATATGTTTCATCTACTTGGGACAATGCGAGTAGACAGTGTGCTTTAAATGTGGTTCATAGTGTTCTGTGTAACTAAGATAGGTTGTTGAGGTGTTGATTTTGTAGGGATTTTGTTTGATTGCATGGAGGATTTTGTCATGAGCTGACATCAGTTAGAGAACCACTAGAAAACCTGCAGGGAGTACTGGACAGCTGTTTCGCCCTGGTTTGGGACTCTTCATCAGTACGCACCACCCCCACTGTTTGGACCCAGGACCTTCTGCTTACAAGTCGAGCTCGTAGACAACTGAGCCACTGGGACCCGATCCAATTGTTCTTGAATTTATGCTTGTCAGAGGTTAGCACTTCATTTTATAGGTACTCCGTACTTAAAAAAATATCTGACTGTGGCTGTGATTAATGCAGATTTTAACAGGAAAGTGCATCAACATCTGTATAGAATGAAATTGGCGTGAAATTCATCAGTAAACAGTAGCAGTAGTTATGATCTGAGCTAGTCTCAAAGGAATAGTACTAGTATAGTGTAATTTACTCTCTTCAGTTTAACATAAAGTCGTGATCATAAAGTTGGCTTTCAAGATTTTGCTTACAATGACAATTAAAGCTGCATATTTCGAACCCTCCAGATTTTAAGAAAAGCACAACAACACCTAAAAGAATAAGGATGTGCTCATCGTATAGTAGTTAGATGTTTCAGCCTTGGGTTTTGCGTTTCTTGACACGAAAAGCGTATCTGTCCCCCCTTCTGATATTCAAATCCGCGTCAGCCAGTGCTGCAATCAGAGACGTTACCACTAAGCTATTCGGGGTTCGTAATTGACCTCCTGTAGGACTGTAATAGACACGTTCACTAAACAGTAGATACTAACTAATGCCATGTGTTTAGTCCTTCATTTGATGCAGACTTCGTAACAGAAATAATGCACTGCATTGATGCAAGATGATTGAAGGCAATTAGAATGACTTCATCTAGGTTTCATGCTTATTAGCCCTTATTCGGACCTCAGAACGGATATGAATGCCTTCAAGATTGCAGATACGCCTAGCTGACGAGTACTGGCACGCACGCGACGTAGACCCAAGGCTTCCTGCCGATTGATTGCATTGGAGCATCTAAAAAAAACAACAGTTCAGAGTGCACCTTGACGTTGTTCCACCCAGTATGATGATCACACTTTGTGCCCATTTGGCTGATAGAATTCAGTCTGCACCAATACCAAGGCCTAGATGTATGACATTAGTTAGTACTTAGTGTCCAATGAAAGTATTATTGTGCAGCTCTTGACTTTTAGGCACTTTCTTTTTGATTCTTGTTATTTGCTCTAATTATTTGTATATTCACTTACCTTATAATAAGAAAGAAAATTTTTTGCATTGGTAGGCTACTGTTTTATTTTGTTCGTTTGTTTTTTCTATTTTGTTTTGTTTTGTCTTGTTTTTTTTGCACGTAGAGTAACAAATATTCTCATTGATATTTATTCACGGGAAAGCTTTCATCCTTTTTAATGGAATAAGCTTTCACATGTGTTTTCTATTACTTGATTATTTGCTAAGTAGGCATACTTCACATAGTAGACAGTTTCCCACGATGTTATCACATGTTCACATGTTGTTGTTCTTGTTGTCTTCTTTTTTCATAGGGAGCTGCCAATTCTTTTGTTTTTATCTTTGGAAAAGTATTTCACTAGATGGCATTCAATGTGTATACCAGCCTTCTTCATGTTTTCCTTTTGTTGTTGTTGTTGTAAGAATACAACATTGTAGCCGAGTAGAACTCTGACAGGCATAATAAAATATACTGCATTGATGTTCAGTGGTTGGAGGTGGTAATTTGCAGGAAGGCGAGCCTTTAAGCCTCTAGGCCATTGTCAGTGTTTCAGTCAGACACGTTACCACTGAGCTTTTCGGGCTTTTACTGCTGATTGCCTCTCGACTATCCTAGCATCAGTTCAGAGTGCACCACTTAGTGCATGATGACCACATTTCAAACTTGACTGTGTGTAGCAACACACTATGAACTAGACGCCATAGGATTACTTACTCATTAGTGACCTGTCAGTGTATATAGCATAGAGTGATGCAATATTATTAACTGTGGTAGAGTGTCCCAAGCACAATTGATTGTTTGTAGTCAAATACAAGTGATCAAAGAACTTTTTAAAGTGACTTATGCAGGTTTTTACTGCTATGCGCTTCATTCATTCTCATTCGTTTTCGGATTTTCTATGCTTGAAACACCAGCAGCGCATTATTTCTATTGCAGATGCATAAATTTGTGGAGTAAAAAACTAAGTAGTCAGCGTCTTCCTTTCTCTTTCTTCACCTGTCTGTATTAGGAGATGAAGGGGATGGTGGTGACGTTTATAGAAAGTACGATGTATGCAAACGGAAGTTTTTATCCCCTTACTCCTATAATATTCGTTCTGTTTAGACCAAAAACAAATCAGGACATCAAATTGACTGTCCAAAATACGAGTTTCATTTTGGGAATCGAAACCGTAATATGACGGTGATTACGCTCAGCTAGCTAGATATCGTCCACGAATGACTGAACGTAATACAACGGCGTGCCAAATGGCACGGATGCTTGATCACAAACCTTCAGTTTAACGAGTGGACTTAAGCAGTAAAGGTCAGGATTCAGTGTTGAGTGATGAATGCTGCAGGCGAATAATTTTGGGGAACTATTTACCACTTTACCTTTTTAAGAGTTTTACAGTGCCTCATCGTTTAACAGAGGTGCGAAATGCCTGACTTAAGTCTTTGAGACGGATAGCTGATGATTATAGACTGTAGCAAATATGACTCGAAGTTGTTGTTAATAGCTGAGATACATTCACTCTTTATACACTGCTAGACTGATCAAACTCTAATTATTCTCTCTATGCAATTATTTTTTTCTCTCTTGCATCTCTGTTCATTACAGTTTCTTAGCGTTTGTTTTATGTTTGCTTAGATTAAGTGTGGCAACTTAAACTATCTTACCTCTGTGCTAAGTTCTACGTTGAAAATTCAGTTTCAGAGAATTCTGTACGGTTAAAATATAAAGGACAAATATTAGGACTTTACTTGAGATTCCTAATAATGGGGAAATTCAGGTAACATTCCAACCCATGAACTTGGTCACTGGAATTCTGTTGACCTAAATAGACAGAATGTTATGATCTGCCGAATACCTTTTGATGATTAATTGGTTACATCTGACATCTGGAAGGGATTTCAGTTAAATTAGCGAAGCTAAATCGCCTGACTAAGTATAGAATAATTGACCAGAAAAAAGGAGAAGTAGCTCAACTGTTGCTATGCATGTACTAATTCACAGGAGAAAGTTATGTCTAGAGCTGCATACTTGAACACCACTTGAGTTACGTGGACGAAGATGCACCTCCGTCAACCGAGAGGTGCTATGGCGATTTTCAGCCGTGACGGAAGTGCACATCGCACTAATCAAGCCACTCTACTCGAATTCATGCAGTCATGGAAGACCTTATGGAGAGTTGCCATCTGAAGTGGTGACAAACAGTGGTGTCTGTCAGGAAGGCTTACTGTCCCATTTTTATTTAACTTCATAGATGTACCAATAGAATTGACTAAGTTTAGCAACTTAGGGATCGACTTCTTGTCAGGGAAAAGTCTTTGTAATCTATGGTAAGCAGATGATATTGTCCTCATATGTGATGATGCTGAAAAAATGCAGAATCTTTTGAGTATCTTGAACGGAAATCTTAGAGTGTTTGGCATACTATTTGCTTCTGTCAAATGTAAGATGATCTTGCAAGACTGGTCTGCACCGACTCCCAGCTTAAAGGCAAGGAATGGAATGAATGGTTGAGCACAATGACCACTTCACATATTTGGGAAGCTGCATCAGCCCTAAAAAGACTGATTGTTAACGAAATCTCACCAGCGATATAAAAGGCGTGTTTGTCATCTCCAGCTTCACTTTCGTGTAAACGTGAAATCCCACCATGCGCTTTGGCACTAAACACATGTTTAATCTTATCAACTATCTTTTCTCATTTGTCCAAAAGTATATTTCTGTCATTTTCTATGTTTGTAAACAATAATTTGTGTTCGGAAGGTACTTTTTCATTGTGATATATCCATTAAATTACTGTTGAATTACGTATTACCCTAGAGTAACATATATATTTCTAGTAGCGTATTCAAATATGTGGAGAGTCGTTGACAGAAGACTATGGAGTTTGCAACCCCGTATGCAATTATGGCTACTGGTTGGGATGTTTAACTCCATGCTGCGGTAGACTAAACGTCTAGGATTTTTGGTTGACCAGGTTTCTATCCTTAACGTCTACAATTAGTGTTTTCGTTTTTGCTGTATTCCGTGATTTTTATTTATTCTTAAAAGAAAATCAACGCGATGTATTTGTTTCTTAGCTCTAATGACTTTTAAACTGTTAAATAGGCGGGGAATATCAGCAACAACTAGTTTTTGTAGGTTGCGTGTAACGCATGTGTATAACGACTGTCTACCTTTATAATGTGTGAGCCTGAGTAGAGGTGCATTGTTCAAATGCCCAGCAGTGTTTATTTCAATGAACGAAATATTCCCATATTGAGTCATAAGAAAAGGCACAAACAGCGAAGAAAATTTTCTTTTCGACGATTCATTTTCATGAGCTGTACAATCGTAATTATAATTAGACACAAGTTTTTGACCAATCAGATACTGGTAAACTTTGTCCTTGAAAACTCTACTACATAGTGTGAGGTGTAAGAAGGGATGACTAATCGTAAGTTAGAAAGGAGACAGAAGTTGGCATGACCTAATAAGTGTGAGATAATGACTAATCAATAGGCTAGTGTAGAGTGGACAGGACCTAGTGGAAAGGTTATACAGTAGTTTTGTATAAGATCTGTGTGAAAAAGCAATGTTATTAATAAACAGTCATAGTGTGGTGAGAGCAGGCTGCTAGCCGATTGGTTGGCACTAATCTACGTTAAGGTCTAGGTCACTAATATGGGCCGTGAGAAAATATGAACAAGGCTGAGTCAACAACCAATCGCAGCAAAGTTAACGTGGCAAAATATGATTCGCAGATAGAGAACTCTATTTGTCAAGGAATCCCGAAACAACCAATCAGAAGCCTGCGTTTGTCTACCTAACTTCTGATAAACAACCAATCAGATGACTGCGCTTGTCTATAATAATGTAGTTGAAAGATGTATAAATACGTGTTGATTTTCATAATAAAACGATCTGTTGCCTGGCCCTTGTCTTCTGTTGTTACATTTGGTGTCGCTGCCTACCGACAAATGGAAAGCCTATGCCTTGCTGTTTTTGATGGAGACATATGGATCTTCGGGCAGGACTTCAAGGCTTCTGCGCAGTTGAGTGGCGTTCAAGATCTGTCAGCGATGGAGCTGCTACTTGGGACGCTGCTGGGAGGTCGGGTGAAAGCAGCATATGAAAGTGTGAGCCGAAGTATGGACGAATGTTCGACAGGGTCAGGCAAACAGTTTCCAAAGTGGGAAGGACCATATATGGTCACTTCGAGATGGGGTTACGCAGACACAGTCGCAATGGCGAACAATGAGAGGCGCGTGAACGTCAGCGAGCTCCAGAAATGGATACAGCGAGACAAGCCAACGATGACGCCTGCACCAAGTAGATCAAGCCGACTTCAGTCGCACGTATTTGACGGGGGGACGAGTGTGGTGAGAGCAGGCTGCTAGCCGATTGGTTGGCACTAATCTACGTTAAGGTCTAGGTCACTAATATGGGCCGTGAGAAAATATGAACAAGGCTGAGTCAACAACCAATCACAGCAAAGTTAACGTGGCAAAATATGATTCGCAGATAGAGAACTCTATTTGTCAAGGAATCCCGAAACAACCAATCAGATGACTGCGCTTGTCTATAATAATGTAGTTGAAATATGTATAAATGCGTGTTGATTTTCATAATAAAACGATCTGTTGCCTGGCCCTTGTCTTCTGTTGTTACAATAGAGTAGTAATAAAATGTGGATGGTGGGAATAGTAATAATGATAAAAGTGTTAAGAACAGTAATAATAATAATAATAGTGAACTTACATATTAAAAGAGAGGAGAAAAATTAAAGTAAGAAATTTACTCTGGCCATGGTAGGGCTAGAGAATGTATGTATCGTTTTTGTATGCATAGGTCCGGTTTTATGTCACCAATAGCTAATGGCTCAGCTATGTACAGATGTCGTATCCGGAGTCATTTTATACGATATTGAGGGACTCTGTGTACCACTGTGAAGCATTCGTGTGGGGGTGCTCGATGTCCGGAGATAACAAGGTGTTCGAGGATTGAGCTTTTGCTATTCTTCTTCTCTCCTCTGGCTAACCAAGCTGGGCAGTGTTCCAGGATACGTTTGTGGACTTGACGTTGCGTACGGCCGATATACTTTGCTCCACACGAGCAAGTGAATTGATAAATACACATTGAAGTGGCCAAAGGCGGTATCTTGTCCTTAACGTTAGACTGGATTAACTGTCTGCAGGAGAATGTTATACGTAGAGTGGCTGTTGGGAATGTCTTCTTCAGACTTTTTGAAAGGCGGTTTCTGAAAATTTCCGCTGCGATGTCACCTTTGAATTCTAGGTTCATGAAGAGAGTCTTCTTAGGAACCGTTGTGATATTTGACACCGGGGGCTTCTCCTTCATGTTTTTGTCGATGAATCTTGGCGGATACCCATTCTCTAGTAGGGTTTCACGCAATAAATTTAATTCTTTCTCCACTGTGTCTTCCGATCAGATTTTTCTAAATCTTGAGCACAATGTACGTACCAAGTTTCTCTTTCGGGTCAGTGGAACAAAGCTCTGGAAGTTGATAAACTGTCCAGTCCATGTTCGCTTACGGTATATCGATCTTTGGATCGTACAGTCGTCTCTTTTGGTGAGTAATACATCGAGGAATGGAAATGCGTTGTTCGATTCGCGTTCTAAGGTGAATCTTATTGATGGATGCGCTGCGTTGAAGGTTTTCAGGAGAGAATCTAAATCACATTTTTCATCACAGATTATAAACGTATCATCTACGTATCTCTTGTATAAGTGCAGTTTACTTATCAAGGGATCAAGGATGTTGTTTTCAAGACTTGTCATGAGACAGTCAGCTAGGAGTAGACATGTATCCTTATTATTGAATTTTGTCAGTCAGTTATCATCAGTTTCTTTCAACACTTCAGGAGTTGGCTGCTGCTTCTTCGACACCTATTTAGTTGGAAGTAGTCTTTAAACCTTGCTTACAGTTGGCAGACTAATGTGTTCAAATTGAGATTGAGTAGCGAAGTACTTCATTCAGTCAGCGATCAGTAGGTGTGCTGGAAATGATATACTGATGAAGAGTCCCAAACTAGAATGAAACAGCTGTCCACTACTCCCTGCAGGTTTTCCAATGGTTCTCGAACCGACGTCAGCTCATGATGATATCCTGTGAGTGATCAATCAAATCCCCTCAAACCAATACTTGTATACACCGGTAACCGTGTTTGCTTGTAAGCTCCTATGTCGGTGGCACAGTGGTTAGGACTATCGCCGACTATGCACATGGTCCGAGGTTCGATCCCCTGTCGACACACACCTGATATCTATGGTCGGCCTGCAAGATTTGGGCTACCGATATCCATGCTGAAAATTCCATACTTGTACCAAAAATACAGTGTGGAATCAAGCTATAATAAAAAAATGGATAAATTATGCTTATGAATTAAAAACACCCAAGATTTGATATTCATGTTCGTTTGTAAATCTTAGACTGTACACATTTTTGCTCTTTAATGTTTCTGTTTTTTTTGTTTTTTTTACTCCCTGCCCCCTCCCTCTGATATCTCCGCATAGTGAAACTATTTCATTGATAAGATATGCAGAAGGCATACATAACAAGTGGAGAATCGGTCAGTGTAATGGGAATGATGTGTTAATCTTAATCACTGATAAAAGTGTAAGTTGTATTACTTTCTGTCTTATAATTTTTTGTTTTCAATTTCCACCCTTTTTATTTTCGTATAAAGAAAAACCCTAAATAAAAATGGGTCTTATTATTATTAGTATTCATTTGGTAGTTTAACTTAAACTGTTTTATATATCTGGTCCTACGGACTGACTGAGTTTTAACATATAAATTCGCACAGAAGTGCAGCAGCCCAAGTTGTTACATTCTATGTTAGCACCCAAAGAGAGCGAGAGAAAAAGAGATTCAGAACGAATATAATAAACAGAAATGTGAGGGAGAAAAAATGGTGATATGGAAAAAATATAACTTAGTGTGCCTGGGAGATTGTCTGTCTGTTTTCAACATAGAACTTTGCACCGATGTGCCCCAGTTCAAGTCGCCACACTCCATGTAGCACATAAAGCCAGAGAAGAAGAAAGTAGAAGGAATGCATAATAGAGACAGTAACACAGAGGTGTGAGACAAAGGAATAGTAATGACGAAGAACAATGTAGTTTCATTGGAAATCATAAGTCACAAGGAGTGGATGCATCTGCGTCAGCTATTGAGAACGATTTTAAGCCACATCACCAATTGTTTCCAAACATTGGATTTTACCGTCCCAAGGACCCCAACCAGTCAAAAAGTCTACACCTTCCCACGTGACTTAAACTAACTGTTGTGGATTTCATTGACTGGTGACATGTCTTGGTTTGACCGCCGCTAGCTCTCTTCCAGTCTGATCCCATGTCAGCTTACATTCCCCGTCGAGGAAGGCGATGACTAGGCATACGTAACACATGTCCTAACCTTCTCAGTCGATGTAATTTCACAGCCTCGTCGATTGATTTCCCCTCTTTACCTAGCACTCGACGCCTCACCTCAATATTGTTCACCTTATTATACCACCACTTCACATGGGAGACAGAACGCAGACACCTATGATCAAAGACAACTAGCCAGCCTTTTCATGTCTTCCCCTCTCAATGGCCAGGTCTCACAGCTAGCCATAAAGTAGGATAGAGCAGACTGATGGGCATTACACCTGCCCTTTTGGTCGACAGCCAGCCGGATATCGCGTCTACACCAGAGACGGTGCAAACTCTGGCGTCTGGGGGATTACAAAGAATGAATGCATCCTCACTATATGAGAACGATTTTGAGTTCCATCACCGATAATCTCTTAACATTAGTTTTTAGAATCCCGAGTGTCCCTACCAAGCAGGCAGTCTACACCTTTACGCGGCTCAGACTACCTTTTCTATAGTTTGGTTTGTAAGGGTTAGTTATGTTTTTACGAGTTGATCACGGATTGATATCAGTTAGAGAACCATTGAATTCATGAGCCATTAAATCGGGTCCCAGTCTCTGAATGGTATACGAGCTTGCCTTGTAACCGGAAGGTCCTGGGTTCGAATCACAGTGAGTGCGTACTGCCGATGATTCTCAAACGAACTGTCAAAGTCTTTTAAGACCAATGCCAGGCATTGGTTTAATCCTCCTAACCCTTTTTCAACATAATCCAATGTCGGTTAACATTGCACTCCGAAGAAGACAATAACTCGTCACACTCAACCCGCTTGCTAAACCTTCAGAGATTCACTAACAAATATGGATGATGTGAAGTGGGAAAAACGCCTGTCTTCTTTCAACTTGATTTCAAAGGTGATAATATTGCAGCAATACTCAACAGAAGATTGAGGATATCACTAGCCAGAGCCTATCCCACAGTTAGCTAAGTTGGTTCCCGTTTATCAAACAACATGCTCCTAGGTGCATTCAAAAGTCGACAGATACTCTTCCTCATGTTAACTCCAGCTATATATATATATATATATATATATATATATATATATATATTGATTTACGTGTGTCTGCGGGGCAGTAAGGGCACATCTTCGATTTTCTGAACATATATTTGAAAAGCCTACGTTTCAAGGGAACAGACGCTTACAATAGTGCCATTACCAGGCATCTCCTTAATATACGGTCTTGAGGTGGAAATGTCAAAATCCTTTAAAATTACCAATAGACAGGAAAGCTGAATTCTTCTGAGGTTTGCCGCAGCAGTCTCTGTCAAACGCCTAGAACCCGATATATGCGTTCAGAAAGAGGCAGTTATCACGTGTTTCCTTGCTCTGGTAACTGGTTGTCTTTATTCTCTCTTTGATTACGTAATCTTTGGCTTGAACTTCACCCCTCCCCTTTGATATATTGTAATTTTGCTTGTCTATTGTTTCTGTGATTTGAGTTGAACTCAGTACATTGTTACGTAGTTTATCAGTCCTACGGTCCCCTCAGAACTCAAATGAATGATACTAATAGTGGCAGTGCACTAAAATCGTCAATAATATGATTCAGAACAACATAAGTAACCAGCTATACAAAAGGACCATCAGCTACCTTCATCATCCTTATAGTATTGTCTCATTAAAAACTTCAGTTAGCATATATTGTAATCAGTAGACAAATTTAGTTCTTGTTATATTGAGTTTTGTTTCTTTCTCACAGTGTTTATTTTTGAGTTAATCCTAAGTGTTTCGTGTTAAATCCTTAACCGGTTGACCTTCATAGCACAAAGATTAATTCAATATGACCATGTTAACTGTGATCTGATTACTACTTTTAATCTGGAATAGTACACCAATGTTTTAGTTATCTATTGATTGTTGTTTATAGTTAGTGCTGCTATAGCGGTTCAAGTTATCTGCAATAACAGGATAAGTGTGTATCATTCCTTGTTTGTACGGAGCGGCTGGAATGAGCGTCACTTTATTTCTGGTGTTATCAGTCCGAGTTTGTAAAATATATGAGAGATATTTTAAATTGCTAACTGTATGATAGCAGCTTATTTGTTGTTTGTGCTTTCTTAGTCTTGTCCTTTAATCATACGTATATTGTAGTAATGAGTATATTTAAATCGGCTAACTTAGTTTGGCATGATCTGAATTTTCAACGCTGATGTCAACTCACTGCTTCTGTATGCCTCTTCAGAGATTTCGCGCAAGCATCACTAAAAACTTTTACTATTGTGACAGCCTAAAAACTGTCATCAAAAACTGGCCTTTCCGCTCCATGCTAAAGACCAGATGACCAGAAAGGATAAGTAACAAACAAGTCTGGTGACGGACCAGCCATGAACCTATCACTTTACAAATATACAAACAGAAATGAAGACGAATTGGATATACTCCAAAGAGGCTATTGAGTGACACCATGTATATAAGGCGACCGAGTAAAATTGGAATAATAATAATAATCTACTTTATTCCGAAAACTACTTATAATACTGAATGGAATTCTCAGCATTTGTCTCAACATTGCATCTGATTTGCTTAAAATATAAATAAAATTAAAAATTAAAACAAAAATAACCAGAGGAATTTGTCCACGTGTACGATGTAAAGTCAAAAGTATTTGAAGCACGAATTGAGAATATTAAATATAATAATAATAATAATAGTGAGTTTGGAGATTTTAGCATTTTATTATAGAGTATTGAGTCTAATGTTCTGCTGATATAGCATAGTGAGGGGAAATACAAAATTTAACAGTTATAACATAGCCTAAATGATGTTCACACTTATGAAAAAAATAAAAACAAAAAATTAACAGGATTAAATATATAAGAAGTACAATAACAATAAAGTTTGATTTGTAAAGGTGGATGAAATGGTTTATTTAGTAGTGCAAAGAGGGTTAGTTGGTTTATGCCTGACACTATGTTCGTCACATAAAGTATGTGCCAAATAAGGTATAGTGAAATTTTTATACTTAGAGGTACGTGCATAAAGTCTTCTGAAAAGACTTCTTGTTTAACATGAGGAGACACAAGTTTGAAACTGTGGGTAGAGTGGGTGCTCAGAGTCTGACAAAATTCCTTTAGCAAATTTGTTACATGACATCAAGTGCCTATCAGTGACAATGTCAACTATATGGTCCAATAGGATACCACTCGTCCTACTGACAGTCTTCAAAGTTCTACGAAGTATGACACAGTCTTTTTTAAGCAATCCAGGAAAGAATAAGGATGAAAAGTAAAGAAGAATAGGTAACATGCACGAGTTGATAAACTGTAAGAGGAGAAATTGGGTTATGTCTGAGTGCTTTAACTTCTTAATGTAAGAAGTCAGATGAAATATTCTTTTAGAAATCACTAAGACATAGGAAGGCCAGGATAGGTCAGAAGAAAGAATTAACCCAAGATACTTAACTTCAGACTTAGTTTCTATATCAGTATCATCAATTTTGCAGCGGTCATAGAAACAAACGGCTTCATTTAACTTTCGTTTACATCGGGAACTGAAATTAACAGTTTGACATTTGGAAGGATTTAGTTTAAGGCCGTTAGACGAAGACCGTCTGCTAATTCCTGATAGAAAGCTGTTCATCTTAGTACAGTCTAGGTGGGAGTTAACAGACATTGAAATAGTTAGATTATCGGTATACTTAACAAAGTATGGTGAACGACGAGTAGTTAGGCGTCCAAAGTTGACACGATGGAGAGATCATGTGCAGAGGAAACGAAGGCTCATAGGCAATCATGAAGTCATCTAAAAAACTGGACAGGGGACAAAGTGGATTCAAGGTGTGCTGCTGACTCATTGTGTGTCACTTGGAATCCAAGGAAATAATAATAACTCGATGACACCTAAGTTTCGGAATTTTAAGCCTGACCAATTGTGGGCACTTTGTATTTAACATCTTTTTGTGGAGATACAATGTTGTGTCGATTTTTGCAATAATGCCGTACTGAAAAGGTGTGATAAGTCCGACATTTAGTGGTAACCTACTCGCATATGAAATGTTATTCTCCTACTTAAGCTTCATTCAAGTGTATAATATAAAAAATAATACAAGGTAAACTGACTTAGCTGCATGTAGACTTTTATAACCGCTTAAATAAGTGGTTACTTTCATACAAATGATGTTGTGGTGTGTGCTACTAACAAAATTTTTCAGTACTAAATAAAGAGTCGTCCGATGATATTAGATGGTCTGAGGCAATC